TGCTTAAAAAATTTTAAAAAATCATATCATGCATCTTCGTTTTTCTTGCTTATCGTATTTGTCTTTCGGTACTGAAATGCGGGGGAAACTAAAACGCAACCGTACTAGATCTTAACCAACAGCAACGCGCTCGATGTATTTATTTATAGGTTGCATCGTTTTTGCCGGGCAAGGATAACTTGACGCTGATAAAAATTACTGGAGCAAGTGTCAAATTTATCGGAAGCAAGTATATTCAAGAGAGCTTTATTAAAATGAGCTTACTGCTCTATATATCATAACTGAATAAAAATTAACATTTCACTTCGTTTATTTCGATCAGTCAACACCTTGAATCCAAAGTTAAAATTCAAAACGATCCTAAAACAAATCACAACTACTACTGAAAGCTCTGTACCTTGAAGCGACTTTAACTTTGCTAAGGTTTGCAGCAAAACACTGCTCGATAGCTCTGTCAACTCTTCGGCGGTTCTTAGCAGCTATACGGAGCATAGATATGTTGCATATTCCAAACTCTGCAAAGGGAAATTGTTTAACAGAAAAAGAAAACCACACACTATGTCCCAAAAGCGACATAAAATCAATAAATTTGCGAATTACCAAAATATAATAGTGAGAAACAGTCCCGCCTTCGACTACCATGTTTTTGTTTTTCCTCAAGACCGTTGATCTGTGGTTTTTGACTTAATGCGCATGATCAGTACTCAAATCCGCTGGCAAGACCCTTGCTGATCGCTTTGCAAGTTGTGAGAACATCCTTAAGATTTCATTTAAGACGATGTATGGGAAGTAGCTCCCCCGGTAGTGACTAAAAGGTTTAAACTTCAAGATAAAGTAAAGAAAAACTTTAAAGGAAACTCTCGTACGTGTCGTAACATCGGATTTTTCCTACGTTTTAGGTTTAAATATGGGACTTATACCCTCCCGCAAGAATATAAGTTTTCGGTAAAAGTCTGTTTTCAAGATTTTGCTTTGAAATGACCCACCCTCCCCCCAATAATTAAAAAGGTGCCCCATCGTAGTGAGGACGGGAAACGTAAATTGATCCGTCTCCCAATCCTTTTTTTCTGCGCAGACGAGGGCCTCGATTTTTCAATTGCACTTTGCCATAGGCAGCCCACTAATAACTTAAAAATCCAAGAATGACGCCCTCTGCAAACGTTTCGCCAAAGAATTTAACTGGAATAGTGACACTATATCGAGTTTTATCCACGGATTTAGAGGTTTGAATAGAGATAATCTCTACCCTGTATTGGAGGCGTATTTTTTGGGCGAGCAAAAGCCGCTTGTTGTCCTTGTTTATGTTCGTTCTCTCCTCCGCAGAAGCCTCTTTGTGTCGCAGGGACACTGGGGAGAGGGCGGAGCAGAGAGTTATGTACGACGTACCGTAGCCGTCATCTTTGATTTTATCACTGAGGAAGGCTGGGGAAAAGAAATATCAACCCTTGGGGTAGGAGTTAGGGTGAAAGAGTTCCCACCTCTCTTTGACTTGCCCCAACTCCTCTCCTTTCTAGAATTCAACATAGTGGTTGCGTGTGCACACGTGTAACTGCGAACACCTAGAAACTTAAAACACCAGCAATGCAGACTAGTCTACTTGCAATGCCGGCCAGCCTTTGACTTGCCCAAAGTCCTTTACTTTTTTTACACACGTGTATTTGTAACCCTAGGAAAATCCACAATGGCGTCTTCCAGCTATCACGCTATCTATCTATCACGCACTCATAAAACCACGCCTTTACACCACGCCAGTCAAATTTTCGACCATTCAAAGTCTTGAACGGCTTGGCTTCTTAATTTTCGTAAGATTGAATTGGTGCCGAGTGAATGTCGAATCAAAGGAACACTAGGTTTATAAAATGCCGCGCTTCACAAACGCAGAATGCTTGGTTGTTCATTCAAACATTAATTTATTAATTTCTTTTATGTGGCAAAAAATATGGATTCTCTGTTTCCTTTCCATAATAATTATTACAGTCTTGTTATGCTGTCTGACGTATTTACAGTTTACAAGTGCACAGCAGAACTGTTCTGCTGACATTTATTTCATTTTGACCGCTGCTGGACACTTATCGGGGCTGAAATGCCGTACAGTTCATCCGCACAGCTGATAAGTGTCCATCATCAGCAAAGCAGATTACTATGCAAATCAGAAGCGTATTCGCATTCCGACCTGCTAGCAAGAATTACATTTAGACCAAAACACCAGACATTCTTCGCCATTCCCAGGCGCTCGATTTCCGTCTGCAGACTCTGACACGGAGGACCTCGCATACGTCATAAATACCTCCTCGTGGATGAGGACAGGGCTGAAAAATGTACTGCGCATGTCCGTGACATCACTTGTTTACCAAGCGTTGCCGCATGTTGAGCCGCACGGGGGATGCACCTTTGTGACGTGAAAATGACCTGATAAACTCACGAAGGAGAAATCCTGCGAATACGTTAAGGAATCTTAAGTAAACCAGGGATCAAGGAAAACGCTTTTGCCTCTCTTGGCTAGGTTTTTCATTGTTTTGATCGTAAGGTTTATCAGGAAGATGACTGAGAGAAAAAGAGCATTGCTGGAGTTTTGGCGACTTTTCTTCAATGGTACGTAAACGATTTACTTTAATGTTATATTACCTTAATACGTTTGAAGAAGAGCAAATCTTTGTAATATAGCCGAGCGATGACTCTTGTGAGTCGTTTCTTGGTGGCACGAAAGCGGGCAATGAGCGCAATGATGCCATCACAGCTGCCATCAGACACATGAATTTATGCTTAGTTATAGAGCTTTTAAACATGCACAAATGTTAGTGCGATCAAAGAAGCCTTTTCTTGCACTAAGCTTCAGCACTTAATTTTGTTTGTGTACTGGCTTGTCCAAGAACAAAAAGGTACTGGCCGAGCTGCAGAAGTTAGTTAAGCTTGTTCATTTGTTTAATTTTTTGCACTTTTAAAGTTTAACGCTTGTGAAGTTTTGAGCAAAGAAAACACAAGTTGACTGAGTTTCATGTGAGTTTTCGTATTAACTATAAGTTTACCATTTATAACAGGTTTGACTGAAGAAGAAGAATCAAGACTTCAAAGAGAAAAATTAAGAAAGAGTAAAGAATAAAAAGAATTTTAAAAAAAGGAATAAAGAGAGTTTACTGAGAGTCAGATTGTGCTTCTCCTGGTAATGAAGCTTTGAGAAAACTTCAAGTCATTGATACTTTTTTGCCCGCAGCCATCGATTGTGTTACTTACCTATTTTCTCTTTTCACATTAATTTTGATTGTGGTTGTATTAATACTGGTAAATGCAATAAAATAGCTCTTGTGAGCTGAGATAAGAATGGGTCAAGCTTTCAAAGGTCCATGATAATAAAGGCTACCTTTTATTAGAGAGTGAAGAGGGTTTGGACCTCTGATAAGACTCTGCATTGCACTCTCTTCACGGTATGTGATTTTTCTTTGGCTCTTAGGTAAAGGGTCTTATTGATCAATCAGTTATCTCATTTAACAGCTTCCAGGTCGTGCCATCACTTGATAGTAAAATTGCTACCCCTTTAGTTCTCACTTCTTTAATTTAAATGTCAGTTTGAAGACAGTTTGTAATTTGAGATGAACAGTAATTTCTCTCTTTGGCAAGGGGAAATATGTACATTAGTTAAATTATTTCTAATATTAAAAGAGCTTAAAAGAAACAAATAAATAATTATTATGGTTCTCATAAAGGAAAAAACACCAAAAAACTACTTCACTTTGTAAGCTCTATGTGTAAAATGCACTCGAAATCAATTTATTATTTTAATGAAATTACATTGAGCTGAATTTGGAAGACTTTTTTCTTGAATAAGACCCACTTATATTGGTTCAGTGATTATTTATTATTCTCGATCAGTTGGGCAACAGTTGGGAAACAATTTTAACAGACACAAAAAGTTTTACTTTTGGAGACATTATCAGTTGGCTGGGAAAGAGGAGGATATCAGGAAGCCAAACTCAAGAACACAACTGCCCCACTACATGTTCATACTGTTAAAAACCTTGAAAAAGAAGTTAGCTGTTGATTATTGGCAGTCGCAATTCTCAACTATTTGCATCTATTTGCATCATGAATTAATTTCTTTATAGTCAAAATTAAGGCAATAAAATGAAGCTAACTCAAGGATTACAGTTAGCTTGAATTACTTCGATGGTCTAACATACCAAGACGGGTTGACACACTTCAGTTTCACAAATGAGTCGGTGACAGTTAAAAATGGCAGGTTAGGCTTACTCTTGTTCAGAGACTGAGCAACTGTAGAAGATGGTTTTTGATACGCTCCATGTACCAGAGCAAGACTGAAAAAACTTTTTAGATTCAGCACGGAATTTTGGTGGCCTAGATTTGTAGTCTAGTATGTACTTTAAGAGTAAATCTGATTGCAATAGCTGGATAGTGGAAGAGAAACCTCAGTGATTTTTTTTTGTGTTCTTGCAGTTCTTATAGTGAAACCTAGCGAAACAAAGCGAGAGGAATAACAGAAATTAATAGTCGATCATTTAAGGAAAACTAAAGAAAAATATCAAAATGTTCCTTTAATGCTAACACTGATATGAGATGCCCGGCTGATCACATGTTGATAAGCCGTCGTTCACGTCTGTTTACGCTTGAACATGTAAACATTCGAATGAAAGAACTGTTCTACTTCGCTGCTTCGAACGAGCATCTTCTCTTGTTCATAGCAAAAAATATAAGAAAAATTACAAAACTATAAACGAGAATTGAATAAAGTATGAAATAATCTACGTTCACTTTAAATGGGAACCTTAAATATTCAGAATCCACCTTAAAAATTGCCAAAATGTGAGGATGTTTTAAAAATCCTTTTGCAAACCATACTAGTTTAGATCCCAGACCTCTCCCGTCTCTGCACATGCGCAGACGTTATTCAGCTCTGTCGTGGTGGAGCACTCTGGCGTCTGGATTCCAGCCCCTCTCTATGTTAAGCTGAATTCGCGTGTTCGTAATTCATTTCCACCACATTTGAGTTAGCTCTCTTCCCCAGACTCCTCTGGGGCACTCTTGAGCCAGCGAAAAAACTCGGAAGCGGCAGCAACAGTCACACCTTTGCCGGGTTCTTCGTCGGAGCTGTTTTCCCAAGCTTTGAAAGAATCTTCTGTGATAATCTCTTCATCATATAAACTATCAAAATAGGATTTGAGAAAACCTGCATACAGAAAAGGAGAGACAAATTAACATGAATTTTGACAAAATAACGTTTATATGACCGAAAGTCCTTTACACCACAAGCCAAGCCAAACTGCTTCAAGCCTAGAGTGTTCGTGGTCCACCTCGACGATGCTCATAACAGTGGATGACTTACAGGGTTGTGCAACGTGTATGTGAGACAATGTGACGAACTATCTTTAACTTTGTCTGTTAATTAGTTTGTTTTAAAGAACAAACAGGTTTCAGTCAGATGCACCCTGATTGCTTCATTTAAGAGTAGAATAAACCAACACTGCTCCTTTATCGGTTGGATAAATCTACTTTCAACAAGACCTGTTTATTTGGGCTACAAAATCAGCCGCATTAGTGACTGTTTTCAGATTTTTAGATGTCTGACAAATGCGGTTTTCAAGGAAGGAGTACATCATCCATGAAGACGGTGAAGAGGATGGTCAAGAGTGCTCTTATAAATTCTACAGAAAAAAACAACAAATCCGTTAGTCTTGGAGCCTGAAACCGGCTACAACTACTAACACATTCAACTTTCACAACACTTAGTTGATGGAATCTTTGGGGTACGCTTGACCTTGCTTGACATCAAGGTCCAGTTGTTCTAACTCGCAACCAGATTTTCTCTTGAATTACTAGTCAACATTTATGATTCTCGACATAACTATAACTTCCCGTCACTTTCATAAGAACTGTGTGTAGAAGTAACGAGAATTTAGCCCATTAATTATTCTTACTTGGAGGATGATCCAGCTGAACGAAAAGTGCCTGGACTGCGTAAACAGCATGGATTTCCAGACTAGCGTTGTCATCAATGTATTTTTGAAGAAGAGGCTTCCTCTTCTTCAGGATATTAATGTTACATTTGCAAACGTCTCCATCTTCTGATAAAGAAGGAAAACAAATATGTGAACCACTCTAAAAGGGAATACGTCACGAGGACATTGCTGTGTTAGTTCAATTCTGCAGTGCTTAAGTCATTGCTTAGCGCCGTTACTATAAATGCTCTTGTACAGTTAAGAAGAAGATGTATAACAAGTTTCATTAGAGAGCACTAACCATAATAGTTTTATGGTGATTTGTGCAGGCATAAATTTTAACTTTGAAAAAACTGTGTTTTAATCCATATAGTCTCAATAGAGTATCACATAAAAGAACTAGGTCATTATGTTTGGAATTCAATTGACGCGAAGACAAGTCATGTTAGTAGCATTTTTGAAAGGATAGCAAATAGCGTGACATAACTGCTTTAATGTTAAATGAGATGTTATCGACTGCATTACATGAGACAGTTTTACCGCTGCATACGAGCCATTCAGAGAGGGAATGTGCACTCCTTTTCCATGAACTTAAAAATCTAACAAAAATTCCCCCATCACTTTAGCCATGGGCAACCGCTACTCCCTGGGTTCACTGTGGACTAGCGGTTAGAGAGCTGGACTTATAAGTCCTGAGTTTAATACCCACCCTAATCACTGGATGGATTTGGTTCTAGGTAGCCCTGAATTCAACCCCTCGGCCACAGCTGTAAACAGCCAACTTGTTTGTCTCTCTCCGGTCAGATGGGATTCTATTTCTCACTTAGTATTTTTACTTATAGTACTTGTTTCTGAACTGGTTTGTGGACGACAATGTCAACTACTGGGTTACCAGTAAACTTGTAATCTAGCATGAGCTTGGCATGGGAAAAATTTGTGTTATAATAAAAAAGCTAAATTCTAAACTGAAAACCAGCCTACATAGTGCAAAATGGACCTTCAACAAGGAATATGGAGCCCGTGTTAAGAAAAAGGGACCAGTAAAACGTGATGTGACAAATAATAAAGAGTTGCGAAACAGGATGCAAAGAAAGGGAAGTTTATCGATAAAATTACCTCTCTCCATTGCCCCTTCACAAACAACTGTTACCAAGGCCCTAATAAATGGAGGCGCCTTTACATCTTCAGAGGAAACATTTCTCTGCAGAGAAAAATAACACAAGAAATAAGATGTGGGGGTTGGTCGTTGATATCTGGGAATAACGCAAAAGAAAGAGTTCCCAGATTTTAGGTCTCCACACCAGGTTGGCATCTCTGTCATTAGCCAAGATAACAGACAATAAAATGTGGAGAACAATGAAGGCAGTCGTTGCTCTTAAGCTATGTAATTTTTACACTCTTAAATCTCACTTGCTCCTTGATGTCACTTATCGATTATAGCAGCTTGAACCTTGTTGGTCCCTCAACTTTTAACACAAGCAAACAAACAAACATACCTAAAAAACATATGTCATCAAACCACTTCCATTGTTCAATAAATAATCAAAAGTAATTTTACTTACATCAATCCAGTTAAACACTTCATCATTTCTTGCTTTTCTCTGCGATATAAGAGTCCTAAGTTCTGCTTGTATTCTAGCAGAATGTTGATTAGATGAACCAGTATTCAGAGATGACTTGCCTTGACCAAGGGCAAACTCGATATTCTAAAGAAAAAAAAAAGGAGACTGACCAGTAAAGGAAGAATGGGAAAAAAGAGGAAAAACTCGTGTAGTAAACTTAACTATTAAATGGACAATACCTATCATAGTTGTCTTTCTGTAAATGCCAAGATTTTTCCTAGTTTTTTTTCCCCACTCTGTCATTTACAAAGGTGGTTAAACACTGGCCAGCAAAATTACAGAAAAGCCGAAAGGATCTTTCCAGCTCACCTTAACTTGAAATAGAAAACTCTTAATTGCCTTGGTGAAACCTAAACGATTTTTAATCGAAGTTCCTGCAATTATGTAGTAAGAGTTGACAAGGGTTACACATTACAAATTAAAATACCATCATCCAACGGTGACCAAACATAAGAATTAAGGTGATTCCCCAGTAAAAGAACCTAACATAGATTGTAGATGAAACTTGGTACACTGATGTAACAAGTCAAGAAGATGATAAAAAGGTCATAAAAAGTGGGGGTCACCGTGCTCGTTTTGACGTCACAATGCTGACAAATACGACTACTTTGGACCTAGCCTGCGTGGCAGGCGTTTGAAAGGGATGGGAAAGGGAGTTTTAGGCGCGAGAGAAACGGGAGGGGGCGCGCGAGGAGGGAGGGAAGGAAACGCCTGCCAGGAGACCATTGTTTTTCTCGTTTTTAACATCGACCAGGCGAATGTTAAAATCCTGATTGATTAGTCTTCAAAACAAGTCAATCACAGCCTTAATATCTTTATCTGATTGGTTGAAATCAACATCACGCTACTGAGTAACTTAATCGATCTTTCAGCAATCATTATATGCTGTAAGTGAAGCGTGGTGAGATTTTTGTAGGGAATTCATCGTTAGAATTAGAAACTGGAGACATCAATTTCAACTTCAAAGGAGAATAGAAGAAAGCAGTTAAAAGTACCGTTCAAAGGGAAAGAGCTGTCAGCTAGATGAGTTTTACTGACAGCTGGTTTTAAGGAGTGTCATCTCCCAACGGCTTGTTTTTACTCACCAGAAGAAAGAGAGGAAAAATCATGCGGTCTTTGTGCTTGTTACCTGCTGTTCGACCTCAAACGCCTACCGCTCAGGCTATGCTTTATAAACGACCTGATCATTGAAGACGAAACGATCTATAATCCTTAACGGTTTTTGGTTGGAGGACTTCTTGCTGGTTATAGACGTTATAAAGCCGCCAGGAACTTACTTAAATAAGTGATTGCAGCTTTCTTGTACATCTTCGAAGTTAAGCAATTCTTTCCGCGCTACCATCGTTCTTTTGTATGCTTTGCTGGATCCAATTCGAGAGTCAGCAAAGTGTTTTTAATTTTTCTTGGACAAACATTGTATGTAAGTTGCGAAGAGCCGCAACATTTCTTATTCAATGGTTTTCCAGCCCGCTTCCTTCAGCAACAACTTGAAAAGATTTATGCTGGATTTTATGTAACTCGGCACGCGTTGTTGCAACGTTCAAGGAAGATTCCTTCAATGGACGACAGCACTTGAATTTTTTTTATAGTACCTGTACTTTAGATTTCTTGGTTTAGGAAAACAAAAGAAAAACAGTGCGAGAAAGACGACTAGAGTACGTGCATCGCGGATAGACTTATTTGACAGCTAGTCATTCACAGTTGCGTTATTTTTGTCATTTTTTTAATTAGTAGGCGGGATGGCGAAAACAATGGCTTCCTTGCAGGCGTTCCCCTCCTCCCTCCTCCCTCGCGCGTGGTCTCGCACCCTAATTCCCTTCCCTTCCCTTTCGAACGCTTGCCAGGCAGGCTATTTTGGACCCTTTGACAAAAACCGCGCGCAGCCCAAAACTAGAAAAAAAGAAAGATTTTTTCAATGGTATCAGTTCTTCATAAAGAACTAGAATACAAAGTGGAAAAGCTCAAGTACAAGACGTTTTAGGTCATGTGACTGAGGATCAGAATCAAATCCGAAGTTCCAGTTGGTAAATAAACCATCCATGTGGTATCGCACAGAATTTGACTTTAATGTATTGTTTATCCACTTACGTACTAGAAAAATGCCTTTTAATGTCCTTGCTTTTTCTTTACGCTCCAAAGTAGAATTAAATTGGACACGCGCTATTCGACAATTTAGTAAAATTGCCAAAAAACTGAACATAGATTTGTACCAATTTTTTTCTCACCGAAAGGAAGCACTGTCCTTATTAAAATCATGAAATGAAAAATGGGGGTCACCGTACTCGTTTTTGCGGTAGAGCTGCAGAAAGTGCGCACCAAATGCATTTTCCTTGATTTTTGAGAGAGGACTGGGGCGAGTTTCAAAATAGAATGTATGCGAAAGGGGGAAGAAAGTATTAAAAAATCCGTTTTTACAGAATTTACATCGAGATATCACATTTAGGACACAATGTGATAAAGAAAGCGTTTAAATGAAAATCAAAGTGAATAAGCACAAATTAAACATCCACTATCGAGGTTCTCCGTGAGGAAGTCGAACTCAGCAACACGCGTACTGCTTACGTTATGCACATTCCCACCTCATTGAGTCTCACCTCGGAAAGAAACAACCGCAAGCAAAAATTGTAATAGCGTTTCTCTTCGGTCAACTTCATTTTAGTAATGTTACTTCCCATGCTTTTTTTTACGGAGGCCGTCTTGTTATGCGCAGTAAGAGATGCGCAGTGCAAAACCAGGGAATCACCTTAACTGTCAGGGTTAAAAGTAAAACAAATAAAATTTCTTTAAAGGTCTTTCATGTAAACCTGTTATGATCCTTATATGCACCTGGCATAGTCTAGGAGTATTAGACTTTTGGTTTTGTTTTATGTACCTCATCCTCTGCAAATTGCTTGGCTTCTGCTTGTTTCTCAAAGAAGGCATATAATGACACATCATATCTATTTAAAATAGCCGACAAATCTTCCCGACTCTAGATCAAGAAATAAAGAATATGATTAACACTAAATTAACTGAACAAATCAAAAGTGTAATGGTCTGTAAGACGCACTACACGTTAGCTACTGAAGAGGTAACACAGGCTTCAACTTCTTATAACAACACAATCTATAGTCAACTCACCGTATCAATTGTGGCTGTTTGCAGCATATAGGCAAAGAGTTTTGCAGCCTTGTGTTTTGACACATATTTTAGTATACATTTAAATAATTCATTGAGGTCAATATATCCATCAAAGGCAGTTGGACCCAAGAGCTCTCGAAGGTAATTCCAGAGCTGTGGAATGTCTATTTCTATGTCTTCAGCATATTCAAGGAGTTGCCCAAGCCTGAAAGAAAAAAGGCACAAAAACTTCATGAAAAACATATTAACCAAAAAATAATAAATGATGCTCTCTAACAAAATAAAAAATTAACATTTTCAGAGGTAAAAGTACAAATCTTTTTTTATTGTCACAAAAAAAAAGAATCTGTTAATTAACGTTGTGGTAAAAATGCTTATTTTT